TTTGTCCAATAAAAAGAAAAAATTCAGTCAGAAATACTACATGTGAAAAAAAATCTCAATCATAATTTCGAAATTTCAGTTGCTGCATCTTTAAAATTAAACAAAATAAAAAAATTAACTCATGCTTACTTTTAATGCATGGACTCCACTTTAACATTTGCTTACTTTTAAGTTTTAACGCATGAGCTCCACTTTTAACACTGCTCACTTTTAACGAACGGCTCCAATATTTTTAACCCATGCTCACTTTTAACGCATAAGGTTTCAATTTTTAATCAATACCTATTTTTAACCATGATAAGCAGCAGTGATGACGACTATGTGAAAAATGAGGATTAAGTTTATTTTGCCAAAAATTTAGGCCAAAGGGGAGAATTGTTAGGGTTGCCCGAATTTTATACCATATTTGAATTTTACCTTTTCTTGTAGGAAGGACAAAGAGTTTATCATAATTGATTTTACTTTTTCCTAAAAGGAAAATCTCTTCCATATTTTGATAGATTTCTTTCTTGCGGGAAAAGGTTGTGACCTCTAAAAATTGAGAACCCTACTTCATACACAAAAATAAAATAGGATCCACAATTTAGTCCTTAAGAGAGTTTTATTTAGAGGAAGATATTCTCTGCATAGTTTTTTATCTTTTTATATTAATTTTCTCATATGTAGGTCAATTGAGCAAAAACATATTATAGTATTGTTTAATCAAAAAATAGTTTTGAGGTCAAAGTTAATATTAGAATAAATCGGATTTCTAAACCAAATTTACTTCACTTTTTCAAATATAAAAGAATAAAAGGTAATGAAAATTTCATATTCAAAACAAAGGAAAGAAGATTTATTGATTGTTGTAGCTTTCTTCCAAGAATTGATAGTAAAAATCTTCAATCAAGCCGAGAAGTAAAAGTGAGAGACATATTGTATATATTTGTGAATTTTTTTATGATCGTACAAAGTATGGTAAGGAGAGTTTATATAAGGATACAATATGTAACTGTTTTCCCCACTTAATTGTTATCTGTTACTAACATTAACTTCATTAATTATCCGTTACTCAAATTATTCGTGTACGGTTATGGAAATAAGGGCAGGTTCTATAAAGCGGTAGTTAGACCGACAATGTTGTATGGAGCCGAGTGTTGGCCACTCAAGAAATCTCATGCCCAGAAGATGAAAGTAGCAGAAATGAGGATGTTGTTATGGATGTGTGGGCATACCAGAAAAGATAAGATTATGAATGAATATATTAGGGACAAAGTGGGTGTGGCTCCCGTGGAAGAGAAGTTGAGGGAATCGAGGCCGAGATGGTTTGGTCATGTGAAGGGGAGAGACGCTAATGCCCCTATTAGGAGATGTGAGAGGTTGCCCGTGGCGAGTCAGAGAAAGGGTAGAGGGAGGCCTAAGAAGAACTGGGGTGAGTTGATTAAGCAGGACATGGCTCTGCTCCAGCTTACCGAGGACTTGACCCTCGGTAGGAAGGTGTGGAGGTCGAAAATTATGGTGGTGAGTTGACAGACAGTCTAGAGTTTTGCCTTGTCATATCAGAAGTAGTAGTAGTACTAGTCAGGTACCTTCCTATTCCTAGTCCCTTGTTTCTATATGGTATGTCAGTATTAGCAGTAGGATTGACACCATTCTTGTAGTTTGATATCCTTGGATCTCTGTCATTATTCGTTGTATTATTTGCTTACACTGTCTTATTATATTGTTGTTGCTATTATTTCTCTATTGCTCCAATTTTTACGTTCTTGAGCCGAGGGTCTTTCGGAAATAGCCTCTCTACCTTCATAGGTAGGGGTAAGGTGTACACACTACCCTCCCAGCCTCACTTGTGGGATTTAATTGGATTGTTGTTGTTGTTAAGAAAATAATAGATAACCGCGTATAATTAGAGATTGTGCTGATTCCCTTTCCATAGTTGTAATTGTCAATGAATCTTCCTCTTCTGTGGTCTTCATACATCCCGTGCCTATCTCTTCTTTCCTAATTTTCAGATACGATATCTTTTGTAAACAATCTTGTGGGTGTTTTAACCGCGCCTGATCATTCTTCTTTATTGATCTTATTCAAATACCACCTGTCAACATATCATTAATTCATGTGTCATATCTATTTTTCCACCAATACAAGTATATTATCCCTTTTTAGTATAATTCTCTTTGTCGTCTGATTCATCATCACAAATATTTACTTTGTTAGCTTTCAGATGACGCTTTATTATTTCGATTCTAATAATATGTTAGTATACTGTATTTGTAAAATAATTCTGAAAATATAAATGAATATAAACAGAAATGAACATAAACAGAAATGACATAAAACTAATTCGAGCCCACTGAATTCACAGTGTTTCCTTAAGGAATTTAATCCCCTCTTAGTACCCAAGGTTATGGATTATTTCCTCCCAGGATAAAATGAATTACACACTGTTGTAGTGGTACTGCAAACCCCAGTGTTTCAGCGAACACAAAGTTCGAAAGCAAATCACACTTACTTTTGCTTTGTTTGATGCTAAAAGTATGCAGAAGAAGGAGAAGAAACTCAGAAAATCGTAGTGAAATTTTGAGCAGAATAGTGTTGTATTTATAGCCAAAGTTGGGCTGAAATCTGAAGAGGTGCAACTCTTCAGAATGGCTGTTTATGCAAAACGGCCACCGCATAAATGTCATTACATAAATGGCCATTTACTCAACAATAAAGAGGGAAAATTGAAGAGGGTAGTTAATTTTCTGTTACCAAAACAGAAAAACGGATTGGATTTAGTATTAATATTTAATATTAATATTCTGCCGAAGCCGAGCCGAGCGAGAGACGACGGCGCGAAGCTTGCCTTCTTCTCAACTCTTTAAGAGCTAGAAGAAGAGCAATTGCTTATATACCCATAAAAACCCTCTTCCTCTTTCAATATGGGACAATGTCCATTTACCAAGGGGGGAAAACTTAAAATTTCACTCAAAAATTTCATTTCCCTCCATTTCCCATTCACCCTCTTTTAAGTATTTAATATATTAATTAAATACATAAAAAACCCAACATAATATGTATAAATGTTTATGTACTGGATAATAATAGAATAATTGTTGGTCAATAATAATATAAATATTGTATTAATACAATATGATTAATAATACAATGAAATTATACTCTGTCTTTATATACTTTTATCTACGTACTACTACTACTACTACTACAACAACAACGTAGTAAAATTTTACAAGTAGGTTGGGGGAGGGTAGAGTATTAGCAAACCTTACCCTACGGGGTAGAGATGTTATTTTCAAAAGACCCTAGACTCAAGAAGACAAAAATAAACAATAGATAAACAATAGAGCAGTGACAACAACAGAAGCCAGAAAAATAATATCAGCATCGTAAGAGACTGAAAATAGATGGAAAAGTAATAACAATAACCAGTAATAATGCCACAGTACTATAAAAAAAAAATTGTCTGCACCACTATTTACGTATTGCTATACACACATTTTATTTTATATTATATATTCTATAAAATGGGAAGGGGAGATGGCGCATGGAAGTGACGACTTGAGGTCTGAGAAGTAGAAAAGAAAAAGAAAGAAAAGGCAAACAAAAAAAGAAAATAGAATAAAATTCTCAAATGCAAAAAAGGAATATTAATAAATAATAATTAAATATAACTAGTTATATATTATTCAATTAGAAGATGAAATTTCGAACCAAAAATTTTTCTCACCTTGCCACGATGGGCTATGTTAAAAATATGATATTTTTGATTTTTTGCTAACGATAAAGGTATATTCAAACGAAAAGTATAACGGTAAATATAGAACGTTTTTAATTATCTAGGGGTAAGATTGACCATTTATCCTTTTATCTTTATGTTCTTAGGCTTCTCTTTGTTAGTATTTTACAGCCGGTTTGGTTTCTTGAATTGAAGGATTAATTTTCTCATTAAATTCAGCATAACCAGTATCTTGTTTGATTGCTTGAGTGAGGAGAATTAATTTAGAATCAATCTCCTCATTAAATTCCACATAACTTATACTCCCTCGGTTCACTTTTAATTGTCCACTATACTAAAAATATATTTGTACTTTTACTTGTTCACTATACTAAAAATATATTTTCACTTTTACTTGTCCACTATACTAAATTAAGAGAAAAACAATCTTTCTTTCCTGCTTTACCCTTATCATTAATTACTTATTCCCCAAATCATTTTCCAAGACCTTTGAAAATAGTATTATTATTAGGGGTTATATGGTAAAATACATACTATAATTATTATTTCTTAAGGAGTGTGAAAAGTTCAAATTGAACAAGTAAAAGTGAATAGAAAGAGTACATTATTTGGGTTCAAATTAGTATTTTCTTATATATAATATTCACATAAATTGATTACGGGAATTTGTGTATTATTTTATGCAGCGTAAAATATAAAGTAAGCATATGTTTACTGAATTCAGGGAATAGATTATTTAAAAGTTAAAATATCCTTAAAGTAAGTAGTTCTTGTTTAATAAATAAAATTTTCATTATAAGTACCGTATGTCCGTATGCAATTCAATCATTATTAATCACTGCATAACAATCTGTGACTCCTTGCATTACTAATCATTACATAAACAATCTATACTTTATGAGTAATTTTATGTTGTGTCTCACACAGTTTACATTAGTTGTATGCAGAGGCGGAGTTAGGATTTATGGGTTCGGTATTCTACTTCCTTTATGTTACTGAGTTCTAATTAACAATTTATACATATTTAATAAATTTTTAAGATAAATACATAGTTTGGACCAAAGTTATCGGGTTCGGCCGAACCCGCAAGCCATATGCTGGCTCCGCCCCTGGTTGTGTGAGGCCTCTTTTTATCTCACATGTTAGTGGACCCATATTTTACACATTTGGATCCACAAAAACAAACAAGAGGCCTCACACAACTAGTGTCAGCTGCAAAATAAAATTGTTCATACTTTATTAATACAGTGTGCGCATGTATTTATACAGTGTTTCGACTTTCCTATGTTCATTCCCATGGGAGAGGAAGAGTGGAACTTTTACTTTCTTCCTCTCTTCTTTTCTTACTATATTTTGGCATTGAGCGGTCGGTAGCTCTGAAAATCAGGTAAAATAATTCCAAGAATATACTACTTACTAGTCTACGACTAAACACAAAGGAGAGAGGAATACAGGGGGGGTAGTTAATTGGGTGGGTTATCCACCTGTTCACGCTTCCTCTCTCTAAAAAGATGATCAGATATTTCTTCTGGTTGTTGTCGATTCCAACTTTTGAATCATTTACTTTATCTGTTATTATGATCCACCATTAGATACAGAATTGCTGTAAATAAAGAAGGAAAAAAGATGGGGGGATGCGTGTCAAGGCCGAATAGTTGTAAATTGGGAGGTTCAAAGAAGAAGAAGAAGTTTAGGAGGAGAAGAAGAAAAGGCACAAGGGTATCTTCTAATTTGTATGAAGGCTCGTCGCTTGTCAAAATTGATGAGTCTTTCCCTTTGGATAACTTCTCCTTCAACAATCCTACTTTTCAGGGTCCTCTCTCTCTCTCTTTTTCTCTCCGTTTCTACATGAATTTGTAGGTGAAAATTTCACTTTTTTAATATAGATAATGAGAATGATTGTTTGCAGTTTGTACCTTTGATTTTTAAGTCAGTTTAGTTTAGTTGAATGTTTAAGGTGGAAGAAAATTGATGATGTGGATGTCGGTTGATGAGCTGCTGCATTTGGATGGAAAAGTTTCAACCTTTCTTTGTTTTTTCATTCTCTTTTCTTCTTCTGGGATGGATTTCCAGTTTTATGCGGAGTATTGTTCTCCTTCTATTTTGCTCTAAATTGATTTCATTCTATTTGGACTTTGGAGTGGCTGGACAAGTGTTTGAAGGGGAGCCTTGGCGTAACTGGTAAAGTTGCTCCATGTGACCAGGAGGTCACAGGTTTGAGTCGTGGAAACAGCCTCTTGCAGAAATGCAGGGTAAGACTGCGTACAATAGACCCTTGTGGTCCGACCCTTACCCGAATCCCGCGCATAGCGGGAGCTTAGTGCACCGGGCTGCCCTTTTTTAGTGGCTGGACAAGTGTTTGAGCTGAAGGGAATATTGGTATATCCTTGATTGAGTAAGCTAGCTCATTTTTTAGCAACAAAATGTAGGTTATCTTGCATACAGATTTAGGGGTTATCACAGTCTGGGTGTTACGATAGAGGTATAGTTAGTGCAGGTCATTTAAACACTGTATTTGTGACCTCAATTCGCTTTTGAGGTAATTGCAGAAACAATCAGACTTATATTTCTCTTTATAACTCAAATATGTGATGCCGTCTTTCGTATGTTGTACCCATGAGTAAATTCCTAATGTTGCTGATGTTCTTGTAATGTCATTTTCTTTCTCCAAATTGTGTTATGTGTGTTTTGCAAGTCAAGATGAGATTGTATGTTAGCACATAATAGATATGTTTTCCACTATATTAAGCGTTCCATCTGTCATTCGTTCAGAAGGATCTGTTTCTATGCCTTTATCCTAAAGCTGAATAGCAGATAAAACATTACAATTCACCTTCTCTTCTGTTTTGTTGTTTATCATGGCAATAACAGGAAATATTGACGAGGCATGGTTTGATTCTGCTGCAATATTTGAATCTGACTGCAGTGATGAAGATTACCAGAGCGTCCCTGACGGTATGGCATTCTGATTTTCAACCTGGTATTCCAACTGTTACTAAAATTTTAATTTGTATAAACTAAGTAATACAAATACAAACACAATTACTGCAGATATGCTTTCTCTCAACAGCTTTGAGGGTGAGCAGACTAGTGTAGCTTCAATGAAAGATGCTAACCATGGGGATGCTAATATAAATGTCCACGTCCAATTATCCTCCGAACTGAAGAGGCAGGGGGAATTATTATGCAATCTTGCTAGCAGTTCCGACAGTTGCTCTGGTAAAACTGTAAAGCAACCAAGCAGTTTGGTGCATCCTAAAGAGGTGGATTCTCGAACAAACTTTGATGGACCTAACGGTGAGGTGCGGCCTGTTTCCCTTGATGAGATATCGTCCTCAGATAATGAAGGTAGTGAAAGGGAGGATGGTTTGTTGGATAACTGTGGAATTCTTCCAAACAACTGTCTGCCTCGTCTTACCTCTACTGTTGTGCCAGTTGAGAAGAGATTTTTTAGCTCTAGTCCTCGAAGTTCAAGGAGGAAAGCTGCCTTAAAACTTCCCTTTAAATGGAAAGAAGAAAATCCTTATGCCACTCTACGTGAGTTTCTATATCTAGCTTTTGATTTAGTTGCTTGGCGCATAGTTCCTCAAATGTGCATCACATGATGGATTAAGTTTGAATATCACAGTGCTACAGTGCTGTTGTTCGTTTCATTGTTCATAAGCACCTAATAATTTGAAGCTTCCAGACCCTATTTGAAACTGCTGAAGTAAATAAAATTATTACGGGCAGGGTATGAAAATACATTTCTTACAGAGACATGATTCATTGCTTTAAATAGTTTTGATTTGGAACAATCTATTGTCTTTAGAGCTGTCGAACTTTCCATCTGCACTTCTGAAGCATGAGCTATTTCTAAGCAAGTGCCTCCTTACCAAATAGTATAAAATCTAGGGGCGTGAAGGTGAACCAAGGGCATCCTTGTCAAGGACCTTGATTTTCTGCTTTACTCGGAGTGGAATGGATCTTAATAATCCACTTTTAATTTCTAAGGGAAAATCCAGTTTCTCAAAGTCCAATTTTGACCTCCTTAGACTCGTTTCATAAATCAAGCTGTAAAATCAAGAGAGGAGGAAAAGAAGAGAATAACTATGACAGAGGAAAGATCCTTGGCATCATATGTCTATCTCTGCGCCTGAAAACCGACTGTTTGGAAGCTTATATAAATGTTTGAGCATGAAAGTTGTCTATATATTTTGATTTTAGAAGGGTAAAAGTGATGGTTCAGTTAACAGTGATCCGGTCACCAGATAAAGGAAAAGAGAATACAATGAGCTAACTTTAATTTGTTTTTGGGTACAGTTGCATCTAAAACCCTGCTTCAAAGGCCCATAGCTGGTAGCCAAGTACCAATTTGCCCATTGGAGAAGAAGTTGCCTGATAGTTGGTCCCGTATTGAACCAAGTACCTTCAGGGTCCGAGGAGGTAACTATTTCAGGTAATGCTTGCTTCCATTGCACATACTTACAGACATATAGGTAAGCACTTACTTTATGAGCATAAAAAAGCTTAGGTAAAGTCCTTCATTCGGAAAAAAGATGAAAAGCTTAGGGAAAATCTAAATGAGCATAGTTAAAGATGTGTAATTTAAAAAAAAAAAAAGATAGTTAAAGATGTGTTTTGTGGACGTTGTAGTTATCATTAGTATGTGCATACATGCCATCTGCCACTGCAACTTTGTATATGTTGTATCATTCACATAGTGTAACTTCTGCAGGGACAAAAAGAAAGAGTTTGCTGCAAATTACGCAGCATATTATCCTTTTGGTGTTGATGTATTTTTATCTCAAAGAAAAATTAATCATATTGCTCGACTTGTGGAACTTCCTGTCATTGAACACTTTGAGACACTTCCACCCATTCTTGTTGTGAATATTCAGGTATCATTTATTTTAGCTGTATAAGTACTGTATTTCTTTTCTTTTTTTCTCCATTTGCTCTAGCTATCATTAAGTTGGTCTGATGGTTAGCTTAAAAGGTTTGTAATTTCTTTGCTAAAGGTGCACATAAAATGTGTTCGAGTCTCTTCAAAGTCAAAGTTATTCAACACAAATCCTGGCACATTGCGGTGTGTTTGGTTTACTATTTTGGGTCATCGTAATTTAGGCGGTCGTCTAACTTCTATTAATAACAGTATAAGTTGGGGGAAAAAAAAGAAAGAAACTGGCTAGGGAATATCTTCACAGTTGAAAGGCATGTTTACCCATAATTGATAGCATGAAAGCTTTTCTCTTGTGTTCAGATATTCATTCATTTGACCTGCTAAGTTGCTGCTTTCACCCTTTTTTTTTACAGGTACCATTATATCCTGCCGCGTTTTTTCAGAGTGATATTGATGGTGAAGGAATGAGTTTTGTCTTGTACTTTAAGCTTTCCGAAAGTTATGCTAAGGAACTTCCTTCTCATTTTCAAGATAACATCAGAGTAAGTTCTAGTTACCATGTCGGTTCTTTGTTTCTCTTTTAGCCTTTCTTTAGTTGTATATTTCTCCCTTTGCTGCTTAATTGTTTAATCATTGCTTCTACGTAATTGTCTTTTCTTTCATCTCAACTTGTTCCAGAGTTCTGTCTCTTGTAACATTCATTTCTCTGTTGGTATTATCCTTTTTCACATTCTGGTACTTCCTCTCTGTACGTATCCTCTTGTGGTATTGAGTTATATATGGCCGGTTTCCTGGCCATTATTCCATTTTTTTTTTCAAATTCTATGTTTGTCAATAAACTATTGTATTCAGATTTTACTGAACATTCTTTTTTCCTATTTAACATGTTTTCCTACCTCCCCTTTCTTATTGAACAGAGGGTAATGGATGATGAAGTGGAAAAAGTGAAGGCTTTTCCAACAGATGGTACTGTTCCCTTTAGGGAACGGTTGAAGATATTAGGCCGTGTAGCAAATGTGGAGGACCTCCGGTTAAGTGCAGCAGAGAGGAAGATTATGCATGCCTACAATGAAAAACCTGTTCTTTCACGTCCTCAACATGAATTCTATAAGGTATAATGGCAAGATTTTGTTGGTGTTTCAGATTTGAGTTAGATTTGGACGTACATCGTACTCCTATTTTCATGTGGGCGCTAGTACGGGTCAATAAAATTTGTTATTATTCTTGTGTCCAACGGAATGATTTACAGATTTCATTTTCTTGAAAATTAAGTCTAAGAAAAAAGATGTTAATTTCATGTAAAAATAAGGATAATCCTCAATTGATAGGGGAATCCACAAGTTTTGAGTGTTATACAATGACTAACATAATATCCGAGGCCGATCCAGGATTTGAGGCTTATGGGTTCCTATCATAATTACAAATTAATATACAATAATAACTGGGTTCACAGTTAAAGATTTACAAATATTTTATGAATTTCTTAATATAAATACAGGGTCTACGCAAGAGTTACTGGGTTCGCGGGAACCCGTATTGAATGCTCTAGGTCCGCCCTGCATAATACACTTGATTAAGGAGTCTACTACTGGGTCTGAGATTTTCTTTTTTTTTTTGTTTTTAAGAAAAGAGCACGAACCAATCTCTTGGTGGTAAACATAATTACATGGCCTTTGCCAGTTCTCATTCGAAAGAACATTCATATTTTTTTAATTATATAAAATATGTTGTTTAACAGCGTAATATGATCTGATTTTTCTTAGAATAGAATGCATAAAATGTTTAATTTGCAAACATTGTCTGATCTCTAGCATATTGAAGGAGAAATATTAGGTTCTCACTGAGTTGCTAATGGTCTCTTTGTAGGGAGAAAATTATTTTGAGATTGATATAGATATGCACAGATTCAGTTACATCTCTAGGAAGGGTTTTGAAACATTCCTAGATAGGCTAAAACTCTGTTGCTTGGATGTAGGCCTCACAATTCAGGTGACTATTATATGTTCTCTAATTCAATACTTGTGTCATTTTCCTCTCCTTTTCTTTTTCCGGTTTGGAGATCAATCGTAAGCAATATTTTAACTTTTCAAATCAGGGTAACAAAGCTGAAGAATTGCCAGAACAGATCTTATGTTGTGTTCGGTTAAATGAAATCGACTATGTGAATTATCAGCAACTGGGGTTGTAAAGAGATCCCCTTGAATTGGTGCACAAACAGTGTAATCCACAGGATATGGCAATTAAATGAAGTTACTGCTACCTCATTTGTGTACTTGCTGGTGCCTTCATATCTCCCCTTTCTCCCAATTGACATAATTTTCAGCGTCTCCGTAATGCATTATGAGGATATACAGGTAGCTGGTTTCATAGAGGAATGAGCCACAAGCCTGTTCGGCAAAACCCAATAGCTTTGGCTCAGACCCTGTATTTTTGTTAAAAAATTCATTTAATATGTATAAATAATTTATCCATATCCCAGTAAGTTACCTCTTTTGAAATCCAGAACCAATAATAAACTCAAAATCCTAGCTTCGCCTCTGGTTTCGTAGGAACTCTTTTAAGATGATTTCTTGCATGGGACAATATTGTTATATGGATCCATCTTGGACTTGCCAATATTGGGCACCTCCTGCTGCCAACTACAGAAGCAAATGGCATATCGAGCGAGCTATAGTTACTAGGGTGAGTCATCCTCTTTGCTTCTATGTTTTTGATCATGCAGTCTGTTCATGAACTGTGGGTTAGATAATCACTTCCCATATGGGACTTTTCAGTTAAAGAGATTATCCAAAAGTCTTAATTCTTTCAGGTTTCTCTACTTAAAACACTGCTCTGGAATTCTACTTGTGAAATGATTAGATATGGATATTCAGGATTTTTAGTGTGAGGTGGTTTTTGGAAGATCTAACACTCCTAGGTTTTAAAGCATTTTATCCATCAGATGCTGCTTGTTTTATCCAATCTTTGTTGATACAATGGATAATATGAAGGGCAGTTGGAAAATCTTCCTCTTTGTCTAACTGTTTATGCAACTCTAAGATTGAGTTTGTGTTCAGACTTTTTCGGAACACATACTCACACAGCCATCGGGCATTCTTTGCAAGAGAACATATTAGAGACAAGAATGCGCTTGACTACAGTCGCATACATTCGTATTGATCAACTATAAGTATTATAAAGTTCAAGAACTAAATACATCTTTGTTCAACGACAGGAACCTAAGTTGATTTTAGCTACACCAGAGTGTAAATAAGAAAACAAATCAAGTAAATGGAGTATTTTGAGATTACTGTCTAATAGCCTGTTTGGCCAAGCTTTTTTTTGGGCCAAAAGTGTTTTTTTTGGCCAAAAGCACTTTTGGCCAAAAATTGAGGTGTTTGGCCAAGCTTTTGGAAGGAAAAAAAGTGTTTTTGAGGAGAAGCAGAAACAGTTTTGGAGAAGCAGAAAAAAGTAGCTTCTCTCCAAAAGCACTTTTCTGAGAAGCACTTTTGAGAAAAATACACTTAGAAGCAGTTTTCAAAAGCTTGGCCAAACACTAATTACTGCTCAAAAGTACTTTTCAAATTAATTAGCCCAACACAAACTGTTTCTCGCCAAAAGCACTTTTGAGAAAAACACTTCTCAAAATAAGCTGATTTTAGAAGCTTGGCCAAACGAGCTATAAATGACAGTACTAGTTACTTCCATGAGAAAGAACCGATGATGCTGTAGGACTGCTCACATTCTCCACGGCCCCAACGTGTGTTTTCCCAGTTAGCATATCTATAGCAATTTGAGCAACTTCTGCAAACCATTCATCCTCTGGAAGCACACTGCACCATTGAATTCCTTTTAATCAGTTAAACTTCTATACATCACGGAATAAGAAATGACGTCACGTAAAAGGGTAATTACATGTAACTCTATATAACAATATTGATTGGTAATCTGGAACAAATGGTAAATAACCTGTTATAAAAGGTTAAATTACACAATGGTGTAAAAATCTTTCGCATTGTAAGTGCTCTTCACTAAAATTCTTCTTTTTGTAAAAATAAGCTATAGATATTTGTGTTTCTATAAATCATCCCATCAAGGTAAAGTGAGAAGTTTCAAGTTAAATTGTTTGTAAATATAGACATGTGTTACTATTCTCTCTGGGACCTACTAAAAAGGAAATAGTATCACATAAATTGGGATAGAGAAGCAGTAACTAATGACTGTGAAATAAGCTTTGTTTTATTTGCTAAGGTATACCTGTAAGGGTCAATTTTGGTTGCAGCAACTGCTTCAATGGCTCTGCCTATGATGTTTTTGATTACTTGTTGAAGATTTCGAGACAAGTAGCGCCCTTGTGAAGCAAAGAGTATCACAAACTCCATATCTAAATAAAACTGCAGTAGAAAACATCGTTTCAGTTCTCAAGAATAAAAGGATAAACTTGTGCATTTACTAGACGAAAACAGAAGTTGAGAGAAAATGAAAAGAGAGAAGTTTACAGGAGAAATTCAAAAATAGCCAGATTTACAAGTGGTCATTCAAAAATAGCCATAGTTTCAAAAGTCATCGAAATTTAGCTACTTTTCATGTAAAGATAAATCTGAACGAAAACACTGTTCAAAATCCGGAAAATACTCCAGCATAATATACTAGAATTCGAATATATTATACTGGAACTCCAGTATATTATACTGGAGCCAACAAAGTATACCGATCCAGCATAATATGTTGGAAGTTCATACACAAGTGCACCGAACTCCAGTATGTTATGCTGGACCGGTCTCTGTTGCAGCAAAATAGTGGCTATTTTTCTATGACTTGGCAAACGCTGATTATGTTTGAATGACAAGTCCGAAAACTGGCTAGTCTGTGCTATTTTAACAAATTTACAGAGATGGATGAAAGTAAATAATCTGACAAAAAAAGAAAAACCTGTTGAAGCCCAAGAGGACCTAAAGGCGTTGGCCCTTGCTCAATCTCTTCCCAAAAGGTTTGATCTTCAGATAGCCATAGGATAATAGTTTCAGTGAGCCTCATCAAAAGAATAGTAGCAAATCTTTCTCTTCCCACAAACATGTCCGATGCTATGCCAGCAATTCTAGTCAACTTCCCAAACAGTTCCTGATATACTGGAGATGGAAACCACTCTATCTCTTCTGGATTTCCATCCATATTTATGTACATGTCCGGACTCAAACGAACACCACCATCTTCCAAGAAAATGAGTTCAAGTGCATGTTGCCTACAAAAGCTGTCACGTAGCTGATCAACTAAACGCTGGAGTCTTCGCTTCAGTTCTCTCTGCTCTACAGGACGGGATTGCCTATCTGTACTCCGTTTAGATGTATCATCTGCCTTATTAGGTTGTTGTGAAGATGAAAGCTTGGCGACTGCACGAGGGATTAGCTCGTCTGCTAACAATAATGCATTGGCTAGTAAAGCAATCTGTTCAGATTCTGTCTCGGCCATCCTTACAATTCTATTTACAGATCCTTCAAGATTCTCATTCTCCACTGAACCAGGTAATGCTTTTATTAACATACTTATGTATGCATTAAACACTAGCATTACACCTTCCAAAGCTTGCTCAGACAACTGTAAGCTTTCAAGAGGGCTAATGTCCTCGCATAGTTCCTGACAAAATGATCAAGGAGCTTGAGAATATTACATCCTATAGAAAGATCACTGAACAGTGTTCAAAATATCAACAAAAACTAACAGAGAGGCAAAGTGCGCAACAATATTTTTTTGGGATAATTACATTTTTGAACCGCCCAAAAAAATAATAGCCGGCAAATGTATATGTTTTGAATAAGAATAAATATACATATAATATGCATAATCACTGTATATATTTTGTATATTTCAGGCTACCACCTGCAATTATTTTGGGCCGCAGGGCCAAAAATGAAAAAGCCCAAAAAATTTCACCATCCACAGGGAAAAAAAAGAAAGAATAGGGTATATATGAGAACCAAAGCTAAATGCAAGAGTGAATTACTGCTGATAAATGAATCACCTGAACCATTGTGTTGAATCTATGAGCACTGCTTGAGAGCTTTGGCTGAGAGACAATGACACCAGCGAGAGATGCAGTTCCTAGAGAACGTGAGCCGATTGGTGGATAAGCCAGCGACCAATCATCATCAGCAGCAATTGCAGCTGTGCACTGCTCAATCCTCTTTATATTGGCAACCAGTGCTTGCTCAACACAGGGCCTAAAGATTTTCAAGAGAACTGGTGAAAGGGCCAACCCACGAGCTTCTAGCAAAGAGCAGTGCCCGAGACTCATGTGAACACTCTCAGCAACAGGTCTTAAGCATCCTGATGCTGCTGGTGAAGCTATCACATGTCTCTTAATTAGACGAGCAAAATTCTCGGTCTGGTTGACAGCCCAAGTTACTAGCTCAGATGAATAACAAGGTTCATCATCAAATAAGGTCAAGGAATCACTTGTGGCCTGTGCAATGGTCGAGAATACAAGCTGTGAAAGAGCAGCACTATATGCTACTGCATGTGAAGTACCTGAAGGCCGAAGACCCTGCATATTACCTTGCATTTTCTGCTGGTGAGAGCTTAACATTAAGGTATGAGCACGGGGCCCATCACCTAGACGTTTTAGAGCTTGCACCGCAGAGCGAAGCTCAGCAGCACTGACTGAAGACTGGAAAGCAGCTTCTGCTAACTGTGCTGCTAACTTTTGCTTCTGTTCAGTGATAGCTTTCTGCAATGATAATAACGCTGATGGAGTCAATGTCTGTTTACTATGAGAATCCTTTGCCATATGTTCACCTTCATCCAGAACATCCAAGGCTTCATCCACTCTCCTCTCAGCAAGCAGCACTTCAAGCTTCTCTATAAATTGTCCTAACCAACTCTCAGAATTGGCGGCATCTCTGTCACCAAAATTAGAACTATCATCTTGCGTCAAACCCTCAGAGCTAGACAGAGAATCAACATTAATTCCTTCAGCTAAACCATGAACAATTGCAGCTCGGGTAGATAGGAGATTTCTCAAGGCAATAAGCTGTCCTTCAAGATTGGAGATTTCCCTTGATGTGCTGCATATATAAAACGTATAAGAAACTTCTGCAAGTGATGCACCAACAGCCTAGATACACTGCAAAAGGAGTGATAGTGGTTGTTTCAGCAGCAGATGAATATTTTACGAGTAACTATAGTTCAAAGACTCAGAGTAGTCACTAAGATAACAACAACAACAACCAAAAAAAAAAAAAAACCCAGTGTAATTCCACAAAGTGGGGTGTGGGGAGGGTAGTGTGTATGCATAGCTTACCCCTACCTTGTTAAGGTAGAGAGGAAGTAGTCACTATGATGGAAACTGAAAAACCAAATAAACTTTATGCTTATTGGCATTTATTCCAGACAAAACATGTTCCAACTTCATGTGCAATTGTGCATAAAACCATAATTCCTAGAAAACAGGAGAAATCCAAATTCACACGCAAAACCTCTGCCATATGGAATCAACAAGACTAATGAATGCACCTTTAAGACAAAGTTCAGTTCTAGGCAGAGATATGTGAAATTGTG